GGGGGGGTGAGGCACGAAGAGAAAGGTGAGCAGGAGGAGGAGAAGGATGAGGAAAAGCTCATCCCTTTTCCAAGGGCAGCTCAGGGTCTCCACCGGGCTCCTGCCTTGCACCCCTGCTGCAAATCCTCCTGTTGTGGACACCCACTGCCCACAGACCCCATCCCACCCCAAGGAGCAAAACACGGCCCCACATGCCCGCCCCAACGCCAGAAAACACGTATTTTCCACATTTCCCCAAAACCACGTGGAATTGGAGCCGCTTTCCCCCCCCGGAGCAGCAGAAGGAGGGCTCAGGGCAGCCACACCGGCTCACCTGGGCAGGCAGGTGATGCTGCCCCGGGTGAGGGGCAGGGCACTGATCCCTGCCTTGCCCATTCCCTTCTCCCTGCCCTACCTGGGCGGGGGTGCAGGCGGGCACGACGCTGGTGTCGTAGATGGTGTTGCTGTCGTTGACGTCGTCGGGCAGGGCCGGGCTCTTCTCCGCCCTGGGAGGCACCGTGACGGGGGGAGAGGGGTTTTTGGGGGCCACGCTCACGTCGCTCCCGTTGCCAAAGGCCTGGATGGCATTTCCTGGGGGCGGGAGAGGTTTAAAGGGAGTGATACAGTGGGGTGGGGTGAGGGAGCGGGGCGGGGGGAGTGGGGGAGCCTTACGGAGACAGGGGTTTTCCGTGAAGTCCCGGAGGAACTTCTCGCACTCCTCCTCCATGTTCCCGCTGCCCTTGCAGGAGCACCAGGGCGAGATGGTGATGCTGGTGGTGCTGGCGTCGACGTAGTTGGGGGTCATGTCGAAGCCTGGCGAGGAGGAGGAGGAGGAGGGACAGGGATGAAGCCACAGTGGGACGTGACCCTTCCCCACCCCAGGGCCGCCACTCACCGATGAGCCCCGCGTAGGAGCCCAGGCACGCCTGGTAGTTGTCCCCGGGGCAGCTGGTCAGGGACTGGAAGGTGGCCTGGCAGTTGGTGTGGAAATCGGCCAGACGGGACCTGGAAGGGGAAGAGAAGGGGGAGAAGAACGGGATTGCACCGCCTGTCCCAGCACGGAGCAGCTCGGAGATATTTAAACAGGATAAAGGGGAAAATAAGGGCAGATATAAAGGGGAACATAAAGGGGAACATAAATGGAATAAAAGGAGGGAGATCTAAATGAGAGCTGGACTCAGGTGGTGAAACTTCTTGTCCCACCTCTGTCGCCCCACCCTGACAAGGGGGCATGGTATGAGGGAGCCTGCCCTCATTCCCAAGGGAATGAACCCCCTCCAAGCCTGGCACCCTCATTCCTCCATCCCTCCCTGCTCCCCAAGCCCTCTCCAAGTGCTGCTCCACCGGCAGACACCCCGTAAACTTCCCAGCTTCATTTGGCCTCTCCCGGGAATTGTTACAGGGCCAGAAAATTTCACTGCCTGGATTTATCCTCCCCCCTGGAACGTTCCAGTTAAAATGCCTGAGGTTGGGAATTACAGTTTTCCTTTTGAAGCCGAGAAGGAAGGGGAGGGGAAACCCCCCCCAAAAGGCAGTGGGATAGGAGTGAGATGCCCCCGACCCAGGAGAACCAGTAGAGATGGGGAGAACCAGCAGCAGCAGGAGGAATAAGGAAGGGCCACGAGGAGCTGATTTCCATCCCTTAATCCGATTCCTGGCTTGGTTACCCCGTCCCATCTTCCCTCCTGCATGGAATGAGCACAGGGAGCGATGGAAGCAGAAGTTTCACGGGAGGTGGTGTCCCTTCCCTGTGATCTTTAAGGTCCCTCCCAACCCAAACACTGTGTGATTCCACCATTCCACGATTATTCCCAGGGGTATCCATGCCCTGGTTGAGCTGACACAAACCCCCCCCTCGCACAGGCTGCTCCTCGTGCCAGAACACGAGGAGGGATCCCCCAGGTCGGGAAGCAGAATTCCCTGAAGGAGCAGGAAGAGCGGAGAAGAGGATGGACAGACGGCCCAGGGGGACAGAAGGACAGGCTGCAGATTCCCAGGGGGACTCAGCCATCGAATGGACAGACAGGAGGGTGAGTCATGGCCCCTCTGGAGGAATCTCCCACCCTGAGGATGAGCCCTGGCATTTCCCAGCGGAAAAGCTCCTCCGCTCCCTTTTTTCCCCCCCACACTTCACACACACCACAGGAGGAACAGGAATACATTATTTCCCTCAGCTTCTTTTCCTCTCTTCTTAATTAAATGTCATCTTTGTCCAGGCAGTGATTGAATCTTCCAGCGGTACCTGCCTGGAGCCGCGGGAACCGATGGAAAATTGCGTCATTTTTTCGTTCCTTAAATAAGAGTGGTTTTTTTCAGGAGGCTTTTGAGCAAACTAAACACGGGAACAAATGAAGAAGTGGCTGAATGGAGCAGATCCCTTCCACCCACCCCAGAATTCCTCCCCTTTCCAGAGGGACCACCGGAGTGCCAGGGAGGAGCAGGAACGCTGGAATTCCAGGGGCTACATCCCGGGGAAAGGATGTGGACACCCCATCCCTGGAAGTGTCCCAGGAGCCAGGTTGGAGCAACCAACTTGGCAGGGGGTGGAATGGGATTCCTGTAAGGCCCCTTCCAACCCAAACCACTCCCTGATCCTCAGATTAAGAGGGAATAAAGCCCGGCTGCTCAGGGCCGGACCAGCACACTGGATGCTCCATATGGGAATGCAGTGGGATTCCTGGAGACTCTTGCTGGTGACTGAGGGCCTAATTGGGAGCTAATTGCTGCCATCCCAGCACCCATTCAAACCCAACAGCATCAGGCTCCTGAATATTTCATGCCCAAAATGCCGAGATTACTCCAGACCGTGGTTTTTCCAGGGTCGATTCGCGGGGACTGAGGGGAAAAAGGGCTTTAAAAGACAGAGGCAGCCGGGAAAGGTTCCTGTCCCCCTCCCCTGCAGAGCCGGGGGATGTTCAAGAAGCTGTGACAACACCGAAAAAAACCTCAGTGAGACATGAAAAACCCGCAGCCCCGCTGGGCATCCCCCTCCCAGCGCTGCCTCTGCCTCGTGTCCTGCTGGAGAGGAATCCTTTTGAAGCCGGGAGATGCTGAGATAAAACAAAAATTAGCCTCAAACGCGGGCAGGTGAGTCAAAGAGCCCCCAGAGGAAGGAGGGAAGCCGGGACAAAACTCCCGCTTTTGTGGATGAACCCCCCCACCAAAGGCAGCAGACGGTTCACAGGGGAGGGGAAAAAATAAAAAACACAAGCAAAAAGATCAATGGGGAGATTTGTTTGATCTGGGAAAAGTTGTGTGCCACCTCTGGGGAGTGGAGTGGCCTGTTCTGGTGGGAGCCAGGGGAGCCTGAGTTGGGGTTTTAGGGAAAGCTGAATTTCTGCACGGCTCGGTGGGGTGGGTGCTGCTCCCTCATTCCGAATTTCAGGAGGAATTCTTTCATGGAAGGGGCTGTCAGGCACCAGGAAGGGCTGCCCAGGGAGGTGGTGGAGCCCCCAAGCTCTGGGCTGGGTGACAAGGCAGGGGGCAGGTTGGACTTGGTGATCTCCAGGGCTTTTCCAGCCTCGGGTACCTGTTCCTCGCTCGGGGATGTGGGGACAGCAGGAAAAAACAAACAGGAAAAAAAAGGCAAACCCCACCATAAACCGAAGGAGAAACCCCCAAATTAGGCCGAGCAGAGGCAAACCAGTGAGAGGGGGGGAAAAATCAGGAGGGAAACCAGCCCAGCTTCTCAGTCAGGAGTTCTCCACGTGCCTTTCAGGACACCACGTTTCGATTCGCTGCCGATAAGAGCAGCTCAAAGGCTTTTTTTTTTTTTTTTTTTGGTGTTTTTTTTTTTATCCTCTTTGCCTCTTCTCGAGCCCTATCATTACCCGGGGAGGGAAGAATTAAGCACACGCATCATTTGGTTTTAATTGAGGGCCTGTTCTATCCCATTGAACTGCTAACTAAGCCGAACAGGAGATTGTGTTTACATAAGCAAAGCCCGAGTCAGTATAGACTTGCTGTCACATTAAGTCAATACTTATGAAGCCTCTCGATTTAATTATTCAGCGAGAATTGACTTATTATTGTGTTAAAAGCCCGGGGAGCCTCGAGGGAGCTGAGCCCTCCCAGCTGCCTCCACATGTGGGGTCCCAAGGGAGGG